CCGTAAATCCTAAACCCTAAACCATACAGCCCTAAGACTGGACCCACTACGCCGTAAGCCGCTGGAGGAGCTCCGGAAACTATATGGATAGTTGGATAGTTAGACAGTTATTAGTTATTAGGGTCCCTTTTCTTATCTTTGTTTGTTACTTTTGGCACTTGAAGTTTAAAAACGGAACCCTAATTTGGAGAAATGCCCTTGTGCCTTCTTTGGGCCCGATATTTCGTATAGGATTTTCATTACAGGTTAACATATATAAGGGTCTTATAGGAGTCTTGGAGTGGGCCTTTGTCTTAGAAGGGTTGAGGCTTTTAAGTTTCAACCGTTTCGCTGCTAGAGTTGGCACCCCTAAACCCTAAACCCGAAACCCGAAACCCTAAGCCCCTAAGCCCTAAACCCTAAAATTTCGAGTTTTGCAGGCAGGTGATACGTTTGAGGCCTCTACCTCTGATGCATAGGGCTTTGGTGCCCATTTTACTATAAATATAATAAGGAAGCCCCAAAATAGTATTGGTAATTATTTGGGGCCCTATATTACTTGAACCCAACACGTACGAAGACCCCTGAATCTTAGGACCTTCAGACCCTGCCGTTGTGGGCCGAGGAAATACGTCGCATGGAGATCTTACAAAACGTTTAATATGGGGGTCTTAGGGTTTAGGGGCTTTAGGGGCTTTAGGGTTTGGGGTTCAGGGGTTTAGGGTTTTGGGTTTAGGGAGCAGCCCCCAACATGAAATGTTGCATCCCAGCGACTTGGAAGGTTTACGAACTCGACACGCCAGGACCGAAACCCTCCTCCCAACTTCCGAAGCTCTCATAACCACAAGTTACATCTCTTGCCCTGATCCCCCAACAGCAGTGCCCAAATTCATCTTTGCTCCTTCCGAGGACACCTCGATGGTGGGCATGCCACAGCCCGAATCCACAGCTTCGGCTGAGGTGGCATGCAAGAGTCAGTGGCAGCAACACCAAAACGAGAGTGGTGGCGCCTTGCACTAACAACAGCAGCAGCAATAGACATGATAATGCAGCCGCAGCAATGACGCCAGGCATCGAAACTCGTATAATTTAAACTGCAAGGGTAACAATGAAGATGAATGTGATAGCATTGTCGTGCTAGCTACCAAACCCATACTCAGAACTCAGAATCACAGCGATGATGCAGGACAACAGACAGTAGTAATACTAAAAAACAACGAAACCGAGATCAGGCAGAACCCGTCATCTCAACACTACCGATAGACTCATTTATTGAGAACCACCTTTCCTAGAATCCATTCGGGGTCGTGGGGGGTCGAGTATTGTCAACAAAAGTTTAGGAGTTTAGGGCTCACCTTTTTCAGGTAGGGTGTTTAGTTCGCTCTTAAGGCTGCGGATTTCGGCGGTTGGGGGCCGAGGATTTACGGTTTAGGAAGGTTTGGGGTCTGGGGTTTGAGACATGCGATCGGTAATCTACTGGCAGTTACACGTATGGTCTTGATCATAGCCACAATCATACTGCGCGGAGAAAGGATGGACAGCTGTGGAGCACTGGTTCAAAAGACTCAGGGTTTTTTGCCGGGCAGTGCCCCATACCAGCATCTGGGGTAAGCACATAAAGCCACATGCACCACTCACGCAATTAGTTGTTTACTTCGTCGCCGTGTTAACTCACAAAATAAACTTTAGGCTTTTACGATTCCATATGTGTTTTTTGGTTGAAAGTTCATTGAGACAAGCTTCTCCAGTAAAACAGCTGCCAGGCGACTGCGGCCTCCGATTGATCTTCGGGGCATACCCGAATTCCGCACCACAAAGCCCTACGCCCTGCGCACCGAAACCCTGTACCTGAATCCCTGCATGGGTCGTTCTCTAAGTTAGGGTCCCTTTTGGGGATCCTTTTTATAAGGGTGCCGTACTATATTAGGGATAAAAAAAGGGACCCTCGTTTAGAGAACTACCCCACATCCAGCATCCATAAACCCTTTAAGATGTAGGGTATGGGCTTTGGGCCTGCAAGCAGCGAATAAGCAGTTCGTAGACAGAGAGCAAAACCTCGACTCTCAGATCGGGGGCTGTTCTTTTCGGCCCAGCGAGTGTTCACTCCTTCACAGAAGAGCCCCAAACCCTAGACTTTCAGGGGATTGGGTTGAAGGTTCCTGTTTGGCCCTAAACCCTCAGCCCTGAACCCTAAACCTAAACCCGAAGCCCTAAGCCGTGACGGCGAAGGTTTTCATCATGAACATCCAACTCGAAACCCCGAAGACCTTAAGCTCTAGACGTCTAAATTATTGCAAAGCCTTCAACGAAGCACCGAACCTTTTGACCGCCTTAACTCCCTTATAAACGCTACAGACCCGGTTAAAAGGGCTATAGGAACGAATAAATCTGAGACAGAGGCCTCACAAAAAGTTTCTGGAAACTTTGTACACCTCACAACAGACTATGCGTGTTGCAAATTCGTAAGAACCCCTTTTGCAGCATCCTATAAGCTCACCTAAAATGCCTGTATACAGCACTGGAAACTTGTTAGAAACTCAAAGCAGCAAAGGACGGGGCTTCTAAACACCATGAACAACTTGTACAACATCATAACCCTAAACCCTAAACC